AAATCTACTGCAGGAGCCACTTTTAAGCAAGACATACACAGTACAGCACAGCACAGCACAGTCAAGCACAGAGTATCAATGGAAGAACCAAAAAATCACAATTCATGTCTCTCCTGAAGAACATGATTTAATTTAGGTCTAATATATTTTAGATGGTTTTTATAGTGAAAGTGAAGACCTTAAACATCATTTGAATTTCCACACATCTTTGTCCAAAAAAATAAAACTTGATTCTGCAGAGTCCAGATCAAACCACAAAGAAAAAAAACCATAAGAAAAGTTACTCAAGTATCTCAAGCATTGAAGGATAACGAGTACATTTCTTTTCATGTGGCCCCCAACTCTCTAAATACAGTGCTTCATCGTTGATATTCACCACTACAAATACTCAATGATAACTGTTTTAGATATAAGAATAATGTACACTATTGTTAAGTACATCAGAATACAGAACACACTGCAAAATAACTCACCAACTTTGCCAGCCTATTGCCATAAGCAAAAACAGACTATTAGCTTGAGTTTTCATAGATTTACTTCAAAAATATATGAAAATCTGTAAACAATAAATAATGAAACACAAAACAAATTTAAACATATATTGCATAAAATATAATTAATGGAAATCAAAAACATACATACAAATCAGACATAATGAATTCAACTCAATAAAATTTAAATTATAACATGTAGAGAACAATAGGATAACTTAGCTATCTCATCCACCTTGCTGAAAAGATTGGGGTTGAATCACTTGGAGCCCCTGGGTGACTTAAAAAAACCGGAACACATTTCCATAATATTCTAATCTGTGATCCTAATCAAAAAGATTTCTCCCAAAAGAGAATGAATAATACTTTACATTAACTATTATGCCATCTGGATTTTCCCCTCATTTTTTAAATGAGTTCTTACTTTGGTACACCAAAAACATCCCTTTATTTTTTCAAATTTCATACCCTAGTCAGCTCTAACCAATACCTGCTATATGACATTGTTCACAATAAAATCTGAAAATCTCTTTATGCAACAGTCTTCTGTGCTATTGCACCATGTGGTCTTGAAGAAAACTGAATCATTATCCTAATGATGGAGGCAGTAAGCCAACTGAAATGTCAGTCAATTTCTATGAGACTATATACCACAATATCCCAGAAGTCAGTCATTTTCACATCTGCTCCTGTGAGAACCCAAAATCTCATTAAAAATCTCCATCCTACCTTTGCTCCACCAATCTACATTCCAAAACCTTATGTGCATGCCTCCAACACTTCCAATATCCTATTTAAGGTTTGCTCTCCCTCTGATCCCTAGGGTCATTCTTTAAACCTCCTTCACCTTTATAACTTCTCACAACTCAATTTATTGGGTTGTAATGCCCGGCAGAAAGTTGAACCAGCTGCTGGTCAGCATCAATATAATTTCACTGAGGGACATCAATCCTACTGATTCAGCCATAGCCTGTCTTCCTATTTATGGAAACCCACTATGTAAACTTACTTCCAGGCCTGGTGCAGCTAACCTGCCAGCACTGATTACATTTCCAAAGCACAAAAAGATGGAAGCAGAGCCAGCTTCCAAAACATAGTTGTCTCATTTTAGAATAATAAACTAAAGATTAAGTCCATAAAAACAGCAATAGTTAATGTAAGGCACCATCATCAGAACTCTTTTGAGTCATACTACATTGCATTGCATAAATGTTTCCAGACCTTCCAATATCCTGCTGTAGTTGTAAATGAAGATGCTCCCTTAACTTTTGCAACTCCAAGTTTTGTTTCTTCTGGAAGGCTAAGGTAAGAGATGCCCTAGAGACAGCCTCGCCTGCCATGAGGCATGACTCCTTCACTCTGGATCACTCCTGCGATCTTCAACAGAACATGTAAAAACAATGAAGTCTTCTTGGGCAATCATACATATCATGGATCAGTGTGATGATGGAGGCAGATACAGGCCGCAAAACATCAGAAATTCATTCCATTCTGACACAGTTGACTGCCTAAAAAAGATTAACTAAACTCAGATTACCACAAAAAGCTTAAAATCTTATGTGTCAATACAATGACTCTGTAAGAAGTATTAGTAAAATGGGATGACCTGGAGAAAATCTGGAGTTTCTGACCTTGTTGAAAGCAATCCAATGATGATACTATCTGTCAAACCAACTACACCACAGAGACTCCTTTACAAGCTGATAATTGGTGAGCTGTGCAAGAAATTCCCTACCATTTAATGATCCCAAACTTCATTATCATGTTCACAATAACCCACTGCTACAAGAATCAACAGAACTCGGTGCACAACCTCTCACCACACGTAAATTATACTATCTTATTAAAAAAAATTAATTCCAACTAACATATAATCCAAAAATGATACCTAATCCACAAGAAAGCTAGACATTAACCCTAACTTCTACCACCACCACTGCAGTATGTCTACAGCTTCAATTGTCACTCCATTGTCGATAGGAATGGGGAAAATTTTAGCACTGCTAAAGATCAGGACACAGTAGAATGCAGTTTTCTTGCTTACTCTCTCCACCACATAGAAATTAGCAATCAGCTTTGAGAGTTTTTGTTTGTTAATGTTTAGGGTGGTTCCCTATTGTACTACAAATGACACACTACATTTATTTTGTCATCAGACACGGGTTTATACACTCGTATTTCCATTAACTTGATATGACATGTTCTAAATCCTTGGCTCATGTCAAAGCGACGGATCTATGGAATGTAAATTAATTCTAATTCTTACTCAAAAGCAAATTTTCATAACATATAATTGTAATCGTCTTAGGTGAAATCAAGCAGAAAACAGTGAAGAACACAATTTTAAATCAAGTGAAATATATGACAGCGACTCATAGAAACATTACCTTAAGAGAACAACACAAACGTACAAACGAAAGTATTTAGTTCCGACATCCGATAACCATCACCTGCCCATTACTAAACCTATTTTAGGCAGACAGACATCTAGATCGGAATTAGCTGTTAATTTTCCATACCTAGAATGGAACAGCCAATACAATAATATAGGAAATACCTAAATGTTTTGGTGTTATCTGTGGATTTTCATACCTCGAACAGAGTCGCCAATATATGAGTATAAGAATGACAGAGCCTGCAATTGTAAAATAAAACTCTCCATTATGAAAGCTGTAATAGTTTATGCTGATGATCAAGTATTATTAACAGAAGGACAAGGATATTTACAGAACTCTGTAATTGTATATTTTAGAATCACAATCATGGCAACGATAGGGAAGCACGTGATAAGATACATTTTCTATACGATAGAATAATTCTGATACAAATCTAAAATTTTAAATACCTGACAATTGGTATCTCAAATTTCTAGTACAGTAGCAAAAAAAAAATTACAAGAAAGATTAAAGAATATAATAAAATTAATTAGATACTAAAGGGATATTAAAAAGGCAAATAAATAAGGCTGCCTAATTGCAATATCATTGTTTCTCCCATCTTAGATTTTGTGAGTGCTTTTTTGTTTTCACTTGATTTAGAAAATCAGAGGAAGGTTTCAATAGCACATTTGCAACAAATTTCTAAAACAAATGTTTCAAAGGAAAAAAAAAACAGACAAATGAGGAGCTCATAAGTTCACATTTTCAGGTTAAAAATTTGTCCTAAAATTCTTGATGTGATTCCTAAAATATACACGGAATAATTTGTAGAGGCGGGATCTACTGGATAAGACAATGAATTTTCGGAATCGATAAATGGCAGGGAATTTTCTTGGCAGTGGATTGTCAGCATCTCTGCTCTCTGCGGAGCGTATTTGACTGCGAAAAATTATGATTGGTTGAGTCTTGACAGAACGCGGGCGTTCTGAGGTTGTGTACAGGAAGAATTTTGTACCCAGGGGGACAGATATTATAAACGTAAACTGAATCGATATTTTTTGGCTTTGTACGTCTATATTTTGATCATATTTACAATTTGCCACAATATCATAGAACTGATAACACTTCTAGCAGTCAGCGGAATGATGATTTATGTCACGAAGCATCACTTGAATTTGCCTGTGATTCCTAAACTTCACCTCTCGTCCAGTGACTCACAAATGTTATTTGCGAATGTATCGAGCGTTGCTGTTAATGTTGTTAATAATAATAAGCAATGAAACAGTATGAAGTTACTAGTGGGGTATTATAAAGTCTGCAGATTGTCAAGAGTAAATTCGAATGGATGGTTTCAGTTGGATGGAGGTGATGGTTCATTACACTGAAGGCAAGAGTACTTGTTATGATTTTTATAAAGTATGGTGCTTCTAACACTGGCAAGAGCGGAGAAATAAGTTTGTACGTGCAGAAGGAGCATACTTTGAAGTAGACTGACCTCCCATCCTCGTACATTGGATACATCTAATTTAGAATAATACTTGCTGATAGCGAAGGTCTATAGGAAGCTATACCGAAGACAAATATGACAAACCTGGAAGGGTGTTTTCTGTACCGAAATGCACATATGCGTTCTTTGCAATTTTTTGTTTTTATAAAATACTACTCCAGTTATCTGACATATTTAGTTTCGAAGTATAAAAATCACATGGTCTTGAAGTCTTCATTTAGTACAAAGGCATTTTAGCTCTGTGCTAACGCATTATACTGGTACACATGGGTTCCTAGGATCCAGATTACCGTTCCTTTGTGGATCTTTTTGGTTCAGGGTAATGGGCGTGTCAAAAAATCCCACCCCTGTTCTGTTTCAGTAACTATGTAGCTGAGATACGCTGACCTACCATACGAAGTATGACATCATGGCAAAGACCACTGCTAGAGTGGGTGGTTATTTTATTATTTCAATCAACTGCAGAATTGTAAGTAGTATGATTATGAGCAGCAAGGCAAGTGGGAGAATGTTGCTCTGACCAGTTATGGGACCGAGTAAAATCACGATAGGACGGGATTCGAACCAAGTTTGACGCATTCGCCCCTCAGTGTGCCGTTGTGCGCATGACACAGCAAGCTAGGGGCGACTGCTACAGGGCCCATGGACCCAGTCGCTAGCGGACACCATGAGATTTCAGTAGCAGTGACATCCCACATCCAACAAGTGTCCAGTGCTACACCACACAGTATCTGATCACTGCCACGTGTACGTAGATACGTCGTGGATCCCTCCACTTATGCCGCCCTGGTTCCTGTGAACATGTGCGGTGGTACTGTGTTAAAACCGACCGCGCCCTTTGACCGCCATTATGGCCCACAATGAAGAGGAAGTAGCAGCTGTTTTCCCTCATCAGGTGAGTAAAAACCAGCTGTCCCAGCCAGCAAATATTTTAAAGTTACCGACGCTTCTAATTGCGTACAAAATAATTTGGGGGCCCACCTGCGAACGAAAATTATAGGCATCAAATTGTTAGGTGCGATTTGCAGTTTGTTGATTCGTTCTTACATTAGCTGCCTTCAACGTTCACCCCTCGTTTCATGTCATACATAGTTTTTCACTAATTTGGTGGTGGAGTGGGAGTGTTTCGCTGAATTCTGATAAGTCCAAAATTTCGGACACTGAAAATTCATTCGGTCTTGGAGTTTATCTGATATGTGGTTTCTGTAGTCTTTTCCTTAAATATTGCAGACCATCCTAAGAGTTTTATCATTCTACCGTGATTTTAGATTTGTAATTCATATTCATTAGTCCAGACCGCTCTACCGTAGAGCTGTTAGCATTACGCCGTTATACAGTATTTAATGGACTGTCATTTGGAGAACTTTGCACAGTTACCTCCATGTCTTTAGTGTGATAATGAACATAACATAATCTGACGTTATTTTTAAGCGTATAATTTTGAGAATTTTTATATTTTTGCATGACTTCGCATGTGGTAATGTATATAAGAGGCAGCTGTGGTAACTGGATTTGTATTACGTGTTTAATTGCTGGTTTTCTTATAATCTGATGGCCTCTAAATGTCATGGTATTTCTCCTACCTTTTTAAACCACTAATGTTTATGATCATTGTTTTTTTTAATTTATAAGCGGTATACAAGTGAGCTTACATTGTAGTTGCTGGTTAGATTTTTGACTCAGTCACCTATAATTCCTACGAGTAAACAATGACAGTTTAGAAATAAATATTAGGCCTACGGATTAGATCTAATTGTTCTGATTCGGTCGTTGATATTCAAGGATGGATGTTAAGATAATTGTTAACCTTTTGAAGTACGTAGTGCACCTACATATTATTAAAAAAAATCTCCTACCTGAAACGAAACATTATTTATTATCTTTATTAAAAATTGTCAATGAATTAATGTTTTTAGGGAAACTAGTGCTGTTTATTCTGGGAATCATTCGAAACCCATAAATGCAATCTATTGGTAAAGGGTAGAGTGTATGAAAGTCACAGTAGGTGATTCATGTAAGTTGCCACAGTGAAACCGAACACCTTAGTACACCTTACCACGCTTATTTCTAAAGATCGATTGAAGAAAACCTTAGCTTATGACATTTGAGTGCCCTATCACAGTGCATTTTACCGTAGACTCTGAACTTTGTGTTCTGGGCGAGGAGCACTTTAGAAGCGACTGCCTGCTTTCTTTCTGCAAAAATATTTTATATGTGTGCGTTCTATTAAGTCTTCTTGCACACTCAGGCGACTGCGAGACGTCTGCTCCTTCTGTTGACTGTCTGTTTTGACGACTGTGAGAACAGCGGTATGAAAGTCAAAATAATTTACTTGAATAAAAAGGAAATGTGGTTGACCAATCAGGAGGTTTCGTGAAAATTTTGAGTAATTTATTTTGAAGTTTTAATTAATTTCGTGTGTTTTCAGAAGGCGAAATTCGATAACATATCCGTGTGTTATATTATTATTTTGACGAGCGTAAGGAAGTGATGTGCCAATTAGGCAATATGGAACCAAGCTCACAATTGCAGAACGGTTACAAATTACAGTAATTAACTTTATATGAAATTCTGCTAGAGTACTTCAACAGTTGGTATTCTAATGAACGGGGTCTCATACGGTGGTGCATAACTCATTCGAAAAGTGAAGTCCTCATGCGACTGGAAAAATAAAAGTTCCACGATTATACTTAAGAAAGCTGCGAATTTACGCTATAAATTTAACCTTGCAATCATAGCAGGCAATTTAAAAGGCTTGAGTAGAGAATATTTGTAAGATTTAAGATTCTCACGGCTGTCTGTCTGGTTGTTGCTCCGTATGGTATGGTATAAAAGGCGATTGCATTGACGATGGAGGCAGCAAGCACCTCTGAAACGTCGGTCAATATCTGCCAGACTACACGTCCCAACAACCTGGGAAACAATTATCTTTATAGAATATGAATTTGTGTTCAGGTTACCTTAGAAACGTATTTTGAGGCGTTAGCATGTTGCCGCGTTTTAAATACTTTTGCTCATTACTGTGAGTACAGTGGGCACGAGAGAACAGTTTTTATGTTTGTTTTATATGGCCTGTTATTTGTATAGGCCATCTGATGACAAAATAATATTCGGATTTGTGAAATCTAGTTGTAAAGAACGAAATAAAACAGGAATTCAGAATGTGTCTATAAAGATGGGCTGAATAAATTCGTGTCAAAGTACTTCCATCTGAAACACTGCATTCCCACATATTACACATTCCAGAAGCTATTGAATCAATACATGCACGGTTAAAACATCTGCATGTTTTATACAATACAGTTAGGCCAGCTGGCCACAAGCAGAGTATATACACGTTACAAAGGCAGTGCTATTAATAGCCTATTTAAGACTGCGTGAATTAGCAATATCTGCATGAATTTTAATATAAATCCGTCCAGGGAGTTGATACATACGGGTAGACGGGCACGCTCAAGTCTCTTATTTTGTGTACATTGTAAAAGGAATGGATAACTCAAGCATTTACAAAAAATTGTTACCAATAATTTAGTCATGGACCAAATATATTTAGTGTTAGACTTACTTAAGTTGTCAGACATTTTCCAATTATTCGTTATAAGTAGTTTAGGTTTGTTACGACTTAATTATGATTTAAGTTTTATGTCCTGTTTATATACTTAATCTTATAATATCTTTGAAAAGAGTTTATTTATTGATCTGTAAGATACTTTTTTATGTTGTTCTATGCCATTTGTGTTCTCTGCATACTATTTCCATCTTTGGAGCACTATCACAGGCTTTATTAATGTAAGTGTGACTACGTTATTCAATTTATTGTGGATTACCAAAAACTGCAAACCTGGTTGAAGTTTTATTCTGGAAATCTTCTTTTACTTATACATGGCCCAGATATTGGCATTAAATTTATCAGTTTTCAGTAGGCCTATCTAACCAGTCTGCTTTGTGACTACAGCCTCGCCCTTAATTTTGCAATTACTATATATTACGTAATCAGTATCGACCCTCTCCAAGATCATGCTTAAATGTCTATTTATTTTTCGACTAAACCATTAACCTGTTTGTGTGTCATCCTATCAGGCGAAGAACTAGTGTTTATATTTCTTTAGGTTTGCATATTATACGACTGTCTTTGGTATAACAAAAATTTTCCATTAGAAAAGCGTCCTTTACACAAACTGTGCTTTGCTAGGTGATATTTTAAGTTCTCACCGTAACGAGTTAAAATCATTGTCTTTTTAGATGTTGCCGTATAATCTTGTATAAATTGACCGATGTTCCAAAGGGTTTTGTTCACTCCATCATCAGGGCTGACAAAACGTCAGTCAGTTTCTAACAGACTACAAGGAGAAATATCCCAGAAGACAGTTATCTTCAAATTGTGTTTGTTTGCAGATGGGAGATGCACCTTTATGTTATAAATGTATCCCTCAAGTTACAAAATTAGGATCACTGGTGCTAAAGTGGATAACGAGGATCATGAGTAACCTTCAGATTCAACATGGCTTCCAAGCCAAATATACGGCTACAAATATTTAGATGGTGTGATGTCATATATCTCACCAGCAATGATCATGAACTCCACTGAATCTCGAATGAGAGTGTTTATTGTTTCGTTCTATATCCAGTTCAGTAACTTATTGTTAGCGACCACCTACGCCCACGCTCATCAATTGCTTGATGTGTTTGACAGATCGTGGGGAAGGGGGAAGTATTTCTTGCCAAGAAGAAAAAGCAAATGCAAGCAGCTTTGTGGTTTTCCTACGCAAAACAGCAGGGACGGTATTTATGTGCTACGTGTTTCATCCGGCATGTTTTCAAATGGCGGGAGAAACAAAATTTTTATAAAGTCCAGCCAACTGCCGGCTCGAAACTGAGGGTCTAACTGGTGCAGTGTGCCACATATCTAGGCGGCCACATTATGTCCATAACTGGAACTGTGCCTGTACTAACTCTCTGTTATCACAACCGGAAGTTTCAACACTGATGGATATCAATATCCGCTATTGGATATAATCATCCTCACACCCTGCTTAACTAGGATTAATTAATTTTATTTTCCCATCTTCTCTTCGGTCTTCCAACTGGCCGTTTTCCAGGATATTTTCCCACTAAAATTCTTTGGATCATAAATATCATTTTTGCCAACTTTATAACAAACTGAAGACATAAAAATAAAGTATCTGCATACATTTATATGGGGAATTAATAGATCTATTTTAAAATACCCTAGTTTGATAGCTGTGCCCCTTTACTGTGGACAAACTAACTGGTGCTCTTTCCACTAAAACGGCCGGAACATAAAACTGACTACTCACCTTCAACTAGTGTTGTATTCAAGTTTTTTTTATTCTATTTGTTCAAGTACAAAAGAGAAATATATGGTACTGGATGTTATTTGATGGGTTATAAACCTTTAGTTAGATATATAGGCAGGATCTGTTGTCCCTGTTATTAGCCCAAGGCGGCTAATTGCTATTTGTGTGGCAAAAGAGTGTTTCTTAAAATCTAAGCTAGCTTTCAAGAACTATGCGCTGTTTATCGTAACGGAATCATGAGAGCAAAATACAAATGTATTTTCCCTTCTAACTGATTCCTTCTTAAATGTTTTACGCCTAGGTGTCTCATTAAAATCTATCTACTGGCAGTTTCTTGTCTGTGCAACAGTGTGGCCAAGCGACAGATGCAGGGTAAAGTTGCCATGGCAACAGGGAGACTCATCCTGCCCGCAGGCCACCAACAGATAACGCGCGCGCGTGAAGGAAGCTGGGTAACGATTACCCCGGGTAGGATTTTCCAAGTAATAGATGATTTAGTTCTACTCGGAGATGGTTAAGCCCATTTGCATTGAACAAAAATCTCTCCTTCTTTGTCTTCTGGCCCCAACACTGAATT